CCGCTGCCTGCCTCAGCTCGTTGATCCCTATCACGCCTTTTCGGTCCCACGCTTCGAGTTGCTTGCGTAGTTCATCCATGAAGCGTTCAGGGAGCGTGACCATGAGGTAGTCATAGTCAGGTGCCACCAGCTTAAACTTCACCCCTAGCGAGTCGTCCAAGTAGACTTGGCGCATACCCTTCTCCGCCGGGATGATTGATTGGATGAGCCTTGCTGTCATGGCGGCTACCCTGCTCCATGTCAAAGGGGCTGTTTTGTAGCCGAACAGGAGCGCCACAAACAGTATAGCCAGCGTTGTGAATCCAGCGCCGGCGTGAGGCAATGTCCCTTTTCTTCTTCTGCGATGGCCAGGTGCATGAAGGCGTCCGACACATCTATCAGCACCATCTCCATCGTCCTTTCTTGGGGCGTCGGCTTGTCGGCGTGCGCGCATGCATCTTCCTCAGCATGGTGATGGCGTCCGAAGGCCTCGGGAGGATCAGCCTTTCGGGCAGCACAGCCTTGTTGTTGCCTCCCGACCTCCTCAGATCGATTATGATCCTCCTCTTCTTCGACCAATCTTCCTTCTTCTTCACGATGAGGCCCAGTTTAGACACGGTGACGCCCTTGAAACCAGCTTCTTCCGCCTCCGTCTTTTCGATGGGGATGGCATATCCTTGCTCCACCAGCCTGTCGATCTCTACCTTTGCGTCATCCTCTTGCTCCCGGACGGACGTGTAGTTTCCGATGTCTTCTCTGAGGCTTTGGGCTGCTTGCCAGTCATCTTGTCTCATGGGAGAGTCCTGCTTCAAGGCGGGTGGAAAGATGTTGCATGACTTGATGGAGCAGTTTATGCCCAGTGGCACACCAGATTCAATCCACTTTGGGACTTCCACTTCCGGGTCATTGCCTCGTCTGCCCCAAGCTTCATACAGGCTCTGGTCCAGTGGGGAGGTGTAGTTCCATTTCCCTTTCAGCTTCAAGGCCGGTGCTCCCTTCGCCCCTGTCAGCTTCTTCAGCTCCTCCTTCCGTTTCTTCACCCACTTCTCCTCCAGGGTACACTCAGGCGCGCCGTACGTCTCTGCGACCTTCAGGCAGTGTGGGTAGTGGTTGCAATGACGCTCCCAAGCTCCCATTATCCTTCGGCCCAAATTCTGCAATGTCGGCATGCCCTCAACCACCTCCGCCGGGTTCTTCATGCCGCCCACGAAGACCTGCTGTTCGAACTTTTGCTCCTTCTTGGCGTCCACCTTCATCAAGCCATACTTCCCTTCGCCTGCTTTCCAGCTCAGATCCTTCTCCGTGGTGTCCTTCCGGCTCGCCTCGGTTCCCCTTCCTCTGCTCGGCGACCTTGGTCTCTTCTGACCCCTTCGTGGTGACGTCGATCTCCCCCTCGGCTGACGTTTGCCCCCTTCACCGCTTTTCCCTCTGCTTCGGCTCCTCTTCCTCGTGCTCCCTTCGCCTCGTAGTTCCTCGCGGATCTGTTGGGGTAGTTCTGAAGCCACCGCGTCCAAGTTGTGCTTCTTCCGGCTGGGACCAGGTTCAGCGACGGAGATAGCTTCACCCCTTCCATCCTCCGCTTCGTCCTCATCTCTGTGGCTGCTGCGTCCCCAGATGACAGCCCATCATGGAATTGCTCCAACTCCTTCATCCTTCCTTCCAAGAACTCTGCAGTCGCCATCTTCTCGAAGTGGTCCATCAGCAGAATGGCATACTTGTTGCAGAGGGCCCAAGGGTACTCGCCTGATTCTTGGGAGGCTTTCTTACCGATGATGGCCTTGTGTTTGGCGTCCCCACACTTGCACGAAGCGTTCATCTGCTCGATGCCGAAGAGGGTGCCTGCAAACTGTTGGGGCTTCCAATGCCTCTTGCTCTGTCGGCTTGATAGGCGCAAGTGTTGAAGAAGGAGACCTTCACGCCAGGCAACCGAAGGAACCTCACCATTTCAGCCATGCCCCAAGCGGACACGTGTTCTTCGTGTTCAGATGGAGGTGGGTTTTCCATCGTCACTGGCTTGACCACGATGGCTGTCGTCGGGGTCTTGGCGATCTCCTCGGCTATGTTGGTTGAGCGGGCCAACATCGCCGTCCCTCTGTCGCACTCCTGCTGCTGTCTTTCGTCGTTTGATTTGCAGCCGTATGGTTCCGACCTAGTTCGAACTGGTTCCGGAAGGCCTTCAACTCGCCTGAACCTCAGTCGGGAGTACGTGGAGCAAGGGAAGCCCGAGTGGTACCCGTCGATGAGCCCCTCACGAGCCCACTGAAGGTGGGTGTTGTAGGGCTCGTCCGCACAGAGATCTTCGCCCCAATCCTTCTCCGTGGAGATGACTTCAACCTTGAGGTTCCGCTTCTTCGCGATGCGATGGATCTCGCCTCCTAAGGGGTCTCTCAGTCCCGAAAAGTGGTGCAGGAACCTGAACTTCCTGGCGTGCACGTAGTCGTATATTTTCTTGTCCATGTCTTGTTTGACCTTCTCTTCATGCCCGCCTTCTTTCTTCGAATCCCCTTCACTTGGATCTCTTGCGCTTCCTTCGTCATCTCGTTCATCTCCACCTCGAAGTCCAGAGCCTTGGGCGCTTACTTCTTGCTGGTGCATTTGCTCGCAGGGTGACCCGGCGACCCGCACGAAGAGCATCTGTGAGCCCGCTTGGTGGTGTTCGCACACTCCGCACCCGGTGGCAAGGATCCACATGGCGAGTTCCCGTTGTTCCAAGAGAAGCAAATACTCTCCGAGCCTTTGGTGTTCTTCCCTTTCTTCCCGCCTCCTTTGCTTCTTTGACTTCGGTCTGCTCCTGAATCTCCGCGGCTTTCTCGGAGTCGTTGGAGTTCTTCCCTTTCGGATTGCCATTTTCGTTTCTTTGCTTCTTTTCTGTCCCGATTCGCTTGTTTCCTTCCCGAGGGTGATGCCGCGGGTGAGGAGGATCCGTAGGTGCCCGATTCCATCATTGGTTGAAGTGCCTCCAGCCCGCCACGCAAGCTCCCTTGGGCGGTCGTCTCCTGAGGGGTGAGCATTCGTCCACGGGCTCCCGAGGCTAGCCATGTGAATCTGGTCCTGCCAAAATTTCAGTTCCCCCGTGACCTGTTTGAACACTGTTTCCCATGGTTTCTTCTCGTCGCAGCCCAGCGGGGGAGTCTTTCCTTCCTTCGTGTCCAGGACGATCTTTAGCTTGAGCCGTGACAGAAGTTCTGATCTCGCCATCTCGTCCGCCGAATACACCAGGTGCCAGGCATCTGGGTAGAGCCTCGTCAGCTTCTCCACGAAGAGTTCGTAGGCATGAAGGGGCCAGCGAGCTCTCTTGCAGCATGATCATGGCCGTCGTGAACACTCTGTAGCAAGCCCGCCGCTGGGTGAAGTTGGCAGGTCCAGGCAGCTCCTTCGACACGTAGCCGTCCGAGGTGGGTATGCATGTCCTGTACTTCGAGGCTCTCAGTGCTTTCCTCCCGAACGGCACGAACACTCCGAAGTCGCAGTAGGGTGGTTTGCCGAGGCTCAACTTCTTTCGAAGGGCTGACAGTTGCTCTATCGTGGGCTCTTCTTCTTCTTCTGGAAGTGCACCTGTCGTGTTGATGAACTTCTGAAGCAAGCCCATCTTGTCCTCCTCGTTCAAGACTTCGAACTCTCCATCGTCCCCCTGGTCGAGGACTTGGGTGAATTTGAGAGTCCTCTCCTTCGTGTCCTTCTTGATGTCGACGGGCGCGGAGGTCCTTGCCGTGGAGCTCGGTTGGGATGAAGTCGTACTCCAAGGGTCCTCTTCGGTCCAGTCGTCCCACTGTCCCCCTCCTCGAACAAACATCAGCCGCCTCGCCAATTTCCAAACCAATCCCACCTGGGCAGCTTGAATTGCTGTGAGATGGGAGGTGTCGTCCAAGGTGGCCTGGGTCAGGCTGGCTGCGACGACTGGCCCAGGGAGGGCCGCAAGTAACCTGAGATCGTCTCCCGGGTTGCCAGCTTCGGCCGTGAAGGCCGTCCACAAACCAGGGGCCACCTCGAAATGGGACAGAAGGTCCCTCGTCATCGCCCAGGCAGCACAGCGGCTGCCGGAAACATGCCAAGCCACCGCGAGGCGCCCCAGGAGGCGCCACACCATGGCCCCCCAAAAAGGGGGAAAAACACAAGCTGGGTGGCTTGAGCCAAAATGGCATTGCCACCCAGCTTTCCCCGCCCAGTGCTCCCTAGACTTGTCATGCGGAAAAACTTCGCTTTGCCTTCAAGTGAAACCCAGTGTACGAAACGCCCGACCACAGACAAGGCACCTGCGGAGACAGCTTGCCGGGCGATGCAGAGGCTTTGCGCCCAAGTTCCGGGCAGACATTAGTAGCAAACATGCGGCACTCAAACTGATGAAGGGACACCAAATGATTTGCATACGTTTGCAAACGTTGCGTTTGCAAACGTTTGCAAACGCTCCAAGATCCAAGATCCAAGATTCCAGGGAAAACTTCTTGGATCCAGGAGCCTGAGGATCCAAGACTCAATCCTGGTGACGAAGTCCTCTTATTCGTTTACTATGACATGTCTTCAATTCCAGGTGTTCTTCTAAGAAGTTTTCCCTGGAATCTTGGATCTTGGATCTTTGATCCTGAGGCTCCTGGATCCAAGAAGTGGAGCGTTTGCAAACGTTTGCAAACGTTTACAAACTTTGCGTTTGTAAACGCAAAAGCAAGTACTTTGTATTAAGTGTTAAGGCATGATGGTTTTAAGGAAGGTACCACCAAAACAAGAAGAAAAAGTAGATCCAAAAAAAGTTTTTAAAAAATATCGAACACACTGCAAATACCAATGAAATCTAAGATAATGTAGGTTGTTTTTTGGGGGGTACCATATATGTGTATGGACTTCTTGCGCCAAGTTCAAATTCAATCGATGCCTGCTATTCTAAAAGCAAAGTGCTCTTAAAACCAATCCGTCCACTGCTTAGAGGAGGCCAAGAATGTATAAAGCAAATGGAACAGTGTGTATTGTAGTCTGTTGAAGCAATGAATCTGTCAAGGTTGTTGTAAAGGGCTCTGCATCTCAGGCTCTTCTGCTGCTTCTGCATCTCGGTTTCCTCGTCCCCATTTTCCTTCCACAAGCCGCGGTACAGAACCTCCGTTCGGAGTACCAAGAGCAAAAGCAGGCTGCAAACCGGATCCACCCATCTTGATCCCCACAGGACTTCATCCAGTAGAAGAAGCTGGTCATGTGTAGATGATGCGCAGAATCTTCGGGGAAAGGGAAAAAATGCTGAAACATGCTGGGAATGATGTCTGTGCCCTGTGCCTCCACGGACGCATCATGCACCTGGCATGCAAAGAGGATGCATAAATATAACGCAAGATATATAATATGTAATATTACTTATTATATAGTAATATATTGCTGTACATATAATTAGTGATATATAAAAATATAGAGAGAGAGATAGAGCATTCAGCTGCTGCAAACAAAAACACATCTGTTGAGTTGAGCGTGATGATGCATCGAGCTCAGACTGATAGCTTTTAATCTGACCAGAAAGCCTTCTTCCACCCATGGAAGCGGCCGCGTTGGCTCAAGGTGCCCAATGCATTGGGGAAAGCCTTGTGATCTCTCGCATCAGGTGCACAGTCCACGGAACTCAATGCTTACTTCGTTAGCTGTTTGGGTAGAAAGCCTTCCTGGTGGCTGTCGCTACCTACACTAAGCCTCAAAAATCGCTGTCCAAGATGTTCTAGCCGATTCTAGCCCATTTCACGTCTTGACGGGAATCCCTGGTTGACGAACGTCTACTGCAGGAGGAGGAGCATGATGAACGTCATGGAAGAGCATTTCATTCCAACGATGCTTGCCGCCCACAGCCAATGCCATGAGGTTGTGCAAGAGAGGCCAGGTGCGTCCCGGATCCTTCGCACAATCGGTTTGGAAAGTCTGAGCAGAACAAGCATGTTGAGCCAAATATCCTTCAAACCCTGTTCTTGTCAGTGTGACAAAGCATCTCGAATCCATGGGTGCGTACCCCACCAAGGCGCATTGGCCAGGAACTTGTTCCATGGCAAGGAATGAGTGAAGTTCGTGATGAACATCCAAGCCAGTGAGAATCCAACCCGTGCAGAGCAGGTCACAGGCAACACAAACCTGGAAATCAGGGGCCGAACATGTGCAGAGCAACAAGACCTTGGGGCCTCAACACTTCGAAGGAGTTTCCAACGCTGGCGTTGAATAAATATTAGAGAGGAGGGGTCGAACAAAAGGTAGCTACTAAGTCATGGTTGAGACGGTCGCAAGAGCAGCAGGAGCAGAAAGAGCAAGAGCAGCAAGGGCAGCAGCAGGGATGAATATTCATTCCTTAGAGCGTCAAATTCATGGCAGTTCCCCACCTGCCCAATACAAAACGAGGAGAATTCAGGTAGCCTGAGGCTACCTTTCGTGAAAAACATAACCAAATATATGAAGTATGTTGTGTTGCATACAGCTTGGGTTCTATAATTTATAGTAATATAAAGTACACTAGGCGTGACTTCATCCCTAATTACATACCTCTCAAAGCTTGCAATAGAAGGAAGGAAACTCGGCAGAGTTGATACCAATCATACTATGTGCACTCGTTCGTGTTGTTGTGCTGTTGCCACTGCTAGTCTTGCTACTGATCTTATTGTTCTTCGTTCTAGCTGCTGCAAATGTCAAGAACGTCTGCAAAGAACAAAACATGACTGCGCCCCGATCCTTTCAGTAAAAAAAAGAAGGGGCTGTGCTTGAGACCAGGAGCCTCCAGCCCTCGCTCAGTGGTCGACCCAATGGCCAAGTACCCAGAAGCCAGACACCTGCAATGATCGCAGAAAATCAGAGGTCGAGACTGCACAAGTTCTTCGTCTCTCACTCACAAAAGGATATTGAACATCAATGGAACAGCCAAGCGCACTTGGCGCCGTCTGCATGCTGCAAGGTTCGGAAGCTGACAAAGGGAAAACATCTTTAAAGTAACCGAGAAGCAGGTCCACATGAACAGCACAAACGCGTTGTGCTTCACTCTCCTGGGAAACCACTTCGACCAGAACCTCAGCTCCACATTCCAGGATGGCTCTCGGCCCGCAAGGCCAAGAAATGCTTCAGTCAGACATGTGAAGGACTAGACTAGAGCCCCTAGTAGCTTCTTGTTGCTAGTAGCATCCTTGTTACTACTAGTAAGGCACTTGTTACTAGTAGCGATGCACTTGTTCCTAGTAGCTTCTTGTTGCTAGTAGCGATGCCAGGAGCCCCGAACGTAGCATCAAATACAAACTAACTCCAAGGAACTCCCTGTTGCACTTGCCTCCACCTCCCTCTTCAGGAAAACTGAGCCACCATTCCACGGCAAATAGCGCCCCAGTGTCGTTGAGTCCAAAGAAATGAATTACCGGAATCCAAGGCACAGTCAGCAAGTACCTGACAACAAACGAAGCCAACAAAATGTCAACATCACGACTCTATCAACTCTACATGAGGCAACTCCCCACTCTAGCCGCAACTTGTATCAAAGCTTCAAGTAGCCACGCAAGTGAAGTAAAGGCCGGCTGCATGTTGAGGCATCCGATGCCATGCGTGCTGTTCGTCAGCTCAGGGCAACTCAACAAACTCTTATCTTTTATCTAAAGAGAAGCCCAAGAGAAGCTAGTAGTAACAGGTGCCTTACTGGTAGTAACAGGTGCCTTACTACTAGTAACAAGAAGCTAGTAGTAACAAGAGAATGTAGATGTAGAAGCCCTTGAGCAAAGGTGCTTGTACCAGTTCGGTCCCATTGGGCCAGCCCACTGCTGCAGAGCATAGTGAAACTCCTGGTCGGAAGTGGACAGCTGCTTGACGTCGGCGCAGGAACATGGACTCAAGTCAGACATGTGAAGGACTAGACTAGAGTGACTGGAAGACCAGATAGCAAAAACTGACAATGTTGAAAAGATCTGAAAAGGCCAAGGCGGCCAAAGTCCCAAAAACCAACGCTTGCACCGAAAAGAAAAACAATCTATAATATCAATCTATCATTCATGGAGTGTCATCTACCCATCCTTTTTAGATCTCCAGCTGCTGACGCAAACTCAGCTTCAATACGTCGAAGCTTCAAAACATGCCACAAAAAATGGAGCGGGAGGACTACCTATGCGTGCCTAAACGCAAAAGTGTTTCAGCTTCGTAGAGTATGAGGGCGATTAAGAGTGCCCAGCTCCGTCTAATTTAAGGACAAGAAATCCTCGAAAGTACAAGTATGCTGCTCAGTCCTATGATTCTTTGTATGAATTTATTTGAGATACCTCAAGCAAGAGATATCCAAGTCAATCTTGAAGTCCACTTTTGAGGGAACCGAACCGACTGAATCGGTCTAAAGGTTTAAAACCAAAAAGCCGGTTGGTGCTCTCAATCTAAAACGATGTAAAACGCCTTCGGTTATGTCGCTCAGCCAATGCTGTGGGAGTTGCGGCGATTGTTCTGCTCGGAACAGACCGGAATTGGTTCGACTGGTGACTGGAGTGTGGCAGAAGCATCCAGTTTCTACATCAACCAAAGGGTACAGCGAACATTAGGAAACTAACCAAAAAAGAAAAGTTGCCGTGTTGTCAACAGGGAGGTGAGCAAATTGGGCACCATAGGTTCTAAACGTCCAAGCAGTGCCGGAATGTAGTGAATGAATGTGCAGGCACCTCTCCTCAGGATCCCAACCAAACTCACCTTGCATCAACAAGTCGACGGTGCTGGCATGGTGTCGAGCATGTTCCAGCACAAACTCCTCGAAGGAATGGCTTCAATCTACAATCGAACGGATACAAGGTGAAAACTATCATGAGTTCACGAATTGGCAACTAAGAAGACAGAATCCTCAATGTCCGTTGTAGCGTGTGTTTCAGTGCTTCAGTTGGGGTTGCCTTAGAAGACACCAAGTCGGCCAACAAACAAAAATATGTCAAACAGATTGTTCAACAAGCAAGAAACGCGTAACATGCTGTAGAGAGCGCTTCGAAACAGGTTGTGAGTGGCTATTGAGTATTTATGAGCATAACTTTGTGAAAGACCTCTCAAATCCTGCCTCCCAGGGCAGGGAGAAGAAGTCCGAGAACGGGTGCGTCAAGAATTTCCTTCAAGAGCTCACAAACCCAAATGCAAACAGTTGGCCAAAAACATGTCAAGGTCATTGGAACCTCCGTCCACCTCCTAATTGTTTAAGTACACTATGAGGTTGACCTCAAGATTTCATAGCAATCTGCTGCAGCTCAGAGTCTGGAACTCATAGGGCGGGAACGTAACGCCATGCATCACCTAGGCTACAACAAAAGTAAATGAGTATAATAATAGGATTATCATCGCCGGACCCAGGCTAACTAGGTGAATCTTGATGCGAAAACAAAGCGGGAAACAAGCAAATCCAAAAAGCAAAAATGCAAAATAAGAAAAGCAAAATAAAAAGAAAAAAAACAAATGAAAAAGCAAAAGCAACAAAGAAGAGCAAATCCAAAAGGCAAAAAAAACAAATGAAAAAGCAAAAGCAAAAAACAAGCAAATCCAAAAAGCAAATGAAAAAGCAAAATCAAAATACAAGCAAAACCAAAAAGCTTTAAAAAAATAAGTAAATGAAAAAGCAAAGCAAAAAAAGCAAATCTAAAAAGCTTACTTTTTTGCTTTTGCTTTTTAATTTTGCTGTGTTTGCTTTTGCGTTCTCATTTGCTTGTTGATTTCACGTGTTTTTGCTTTTGCTTTCTTTGCTATTGATTTGTATTTGTGTGCTTTTGTTTTTTCACTTGTTTGTGCTTGTTTGATTGTGTTTTTTTGTTTTTGCCTTTTCATTTGATGCTTTTTTGCTTTTTGGAGTGATTTTTGTGTTTGCTTTTTCATTTGCATTTTTTTGGCTGTTTGGGTGTGTTTTCTTGTTGCTTTTGCTTTTTCGTGTGTGTGTTTTTTTGCTTTTTGGATTTGCTGTTTTTGCTTCTGCTTTTGGTGTTTTTTTGGATTTTTTCTTTTTTTTTGCAAAACCATCAAAAATAGCCTAAGCCTAAGTGGTTTCTTAATAATATATATCGGATATTCTTACTAACTATTGCCATTGCTTCCACCTTCCCACGCAATTCGCACCTTCTTGACAGCATCTTTTCTTAGCCAAGGTTCATCATGGTCGATGTAAATCTGTTGAATGCAGATGTATGCAAAGGGAGCTCCAAAGAGAAGTGTGCATGTCCAGTAGTGCTCCGGGAAGGTCGCAAGGGAAGCACAGTAAGTGAGAATCATGAGACATTGCACTACGAAGATCGCAGTCAGCCTTGCGCTGTTGCGGGATTTAGCAATTTAGCCATACCTCCCCCAATACCAAACACACGTTGATTGACAAACTTGATTATGCACTCGTGTCCAGGCACAAGGACTCAAAAGACTTCAGGCTCTAATCCACGGTGAAAAGAAGAATGAATTGAAAGAAACAAAAGAAGTGCCAATCTCTGCAAAGAACACGTTCCACATGTACACCATCTGCTCAGGGGTGATTTTGGTAAACCTGGGTCGTGAGGCAGAACTGCCAAAAGCGTTTGTGCTCTTCGGCTATGATATGGATCGGGTCACATAAGCAATCACAGCGGGACAAGAGATGTTCTTCGTTAGTACAAGCAAGGTTGAGCAAGAGTTTCGAGGCAGCAAAGTTGGAAGGGAGTCGCTTCACTTCAATCAAGCTGAATGCAGCGAAGAGTCAGGAATGCTAAGTTTTGTGGCATGGGGTCTGGCTTGTTCGGGATGGGGAAGAGGCGTCCTGTTTTCAAGCTCCTGAGGCAAAAGTCACATTGTTCCAGATCGTGCGCCCAAATGAAATCCAAGCACTTTCATTGCCTCGCGATGAGATCTTTTGTCCAAAGGCCGAAGCTCGATTTGTTCAATGCTGTCCGATATTTGCCACTCTTGACACCCGCAATTGTCTTCGCCTGACTTTTCTGGTTTCTGTGGATCAACGTCACTCGGCCATCTGAGTCCTGTTTTGGTCGTTCTTCTCAACGGAGAGGATCTTCTCTTTGCTCTTGGCCATGCTGCTCGGAGCATGGGGATCACCCTCATCTGGCTGTGCCAATTTCAGAGCCGCGATCTCATGGTCCCGCTCATACTTCTTCTGCAACCTGATTCTTTTTGATGATGGATGATGATGATGATGATTTGATTGAGTGGGAACAGTAGGGTGCCACCAAAATTGGTGCCTGAAGCCAACAGCCCAAGAAATCTTCGGCCAAATCGTCCTTCCAAACTCTCAAGCAATACTTGGCTACCAGTAAGCAGAGTCAATACTGCAGGCCTATGGCCTATGTCATGCCACGTCGTGCGCTATAATCCCAATATGGGTATGACGTCCCTGAAGTCCCCCACAGAAGCAAACATTGACATCAACGCTTGCAAAGATGTCTGACCTTATCATCTAGGACATTTGAGAACTGCCCCGCAGATTATGATGACACCATGCTTTCGCAGCCAAGTGCATCCCTGCGTCCAAGCAACTCTGCCAAATACTCGTCGGCACCATAGAAAATGGACGCTTTGGAGTGCCCAGCCTGAAGGGAGGAGATGCACCACACAAACTCACCAAACACGCCTAAAGAGTGTTTTTCTAAATCATTCTGACTACTAGTATGTTACTATGTCCATGAATTCGAGTAAGTTGGCTGCTGGCAAGAATTGAAATACAGCAACGCCTGAAAGGACATTGCATGGTGTCATATTTGATGTGTATTTCAGGACTCCAAGCTTCACTAATTACCGAATCATAAACAATATCCATGCTGCCACACTCCATGGGCGAGCCGTTGCAACAGAAGCTTGCGAGCCTTCTTCTTGTCGAGCAAAGGTGCACTCGCCATGGATTAAAGAGCACACGAGGCTCACAGGGTCCGTGTTCTCGAGACTCAAAGCTCGATTTCGCACGTCAACAGAATGTGCTGTGCGCTTCTTGTCGCGCCATAAAGATCCATAAAGCAACCAAATCGGCTACTCCGTCAGTTCAGTGGTGGGACCCGTGGGTGGGCAATGTCTTCATTTGACAAACAACCTGCTACTGACAATAGTTATCCAGTTATCCCCCTAAAAGACACCGTTGTCCTGGAAGTCTCCTGCTTTTTCTCCTACTTTTCGTAGCAAAATAAGCTAGTTGCCTCCCAAAATCAGAAAGTTCTTACATTCGCGTCAGGGTCTCCAAAGGATACAAAGCTTTGTCAATGGAAGCGAAATTTCTCGGTGTTCTCATAGACTTCAACGTACCATCAGAAGGGGAAGCTGCCTTAGCCATTCTTAGCGTGCGGGAACAAGAGTTCCTAAAAGTTCCAGATCCTCGTGCTTTGCTCAGGCTAGTCAGCTAGTCTCGGACCTCTCCCATCCTCCAGCCGTCTGGATTTGGGTCGCAAACTGGCTTGGTGAGAGCTTTGCCCGCCTTAATTGGCACGCAACAAGCAGTAGGGCCGATTCTCGCGGTTGCACTTGAGGTCATCGCAAAAACTTTGGATGATTTCTTGAATCCTCAACTGACGCACTCTTCGTGCCTGCCCACTGTATTTCGAGTCTAGATCTGGAATTTCATACTAAGCAGTCCCAATGCTGCTGAGATACAACAGAATCCTTTACTGGCTACTGTACTCTGCTTGTCTGACCTGCCTTTTATCCAGGATTTTTGAAATGCCATGGATCCATGCAATCTGCAAACATTTAAACGACTTGGCCTGCTCCGCACAGCTTCTCAAATTACTGAGTGTGAAGTGCCTTGGTGCAAAGTTGTTCTCAGATTAGATTTAAACGTGCAAAGGTGTTTGATAGACTGTTTGATAGTTTTGTCTTATGACATCACTGATGTTCGAGGGATTGGAGCACCTTTGAATAACAGGACTTTGTTTGGATCCCCGGGAAACTTTGAGCCTCTGGGGCCATAAGGATGTTGAGAACCTAGCATGCACGTCTCCAAAAAATGATGAAATTTATGGAAAATCTCGGGTCTTCAGCTACATGTACGGTCTTTGCCGCCCGGGCCGAAGGTCCGCATAGACCGAGAGGCACTCAGAGGAGATGCAATCGACCTTCGTCGACGTGAGGGAGGTCGGCAACTGAAAGGATTGGGCCAAAAGGCGCTTGGGATATCGAATAGCAATAGCCTCCAACCTACTAGCGATGGCCTCCAAAGCAAAACTATATAAAGCAGGCACATGAGATCAATGTGACAGCATGTCACAGCTGTGTCCATGGCTTGAAGAAAACATGTTGGACCCTCGACTCAGTGCCACAGCATGCCACAGCCCATGAATTCCATGCCCAGGACCTAAAACAAACAAAACATAAGAGCATCAACTTCATGGGGATCCGCACGACCTGGCTGTGCCACCTGAAGGATTAAAGAATAGGACTGTTCTTAGCTTGACCAACGAAGTTTCTGCGCAACCTGGGCTTAAGCTGCACCTGGGCCTCAAGGCATCGTTTCAGTCCCTCGTCACCTCTCAAGGCAATGTAAAGCAAGAGGGTGGGGATAAAACTCAAAGCCATGGGGCTGAATATGTACATTACATACTGGATCATACTAGGTGTGTCGAGCTGCGCGCAAAACACGAGCCTTGGCCCCAGCAACAGCTCGCTAAGGATCTCTTGAAGTCTCTGCTCAGGAGGCAAAAGCCTAAGTCTCATGACTCTGCCGGTCCTCGTCGTCCTCGTTACCCAAGGTGGTTCTGCAAAGATCTTCAGTCTTTGCATAGCTCACATGCTTGTGTCATCAGAGATTTGTTCAGACAAATCCTAATACAGTGAAGAATGTTTCACCATGCGGGGTATGGCAATGGTATGCTTTCACCAGGAGAACTAAATTCTACAGCTAATTCCCTTGTGATTGGTCAAGACCATTTGCACTACTGGACCAGTGGAGCTGGAAAGACTTCAATCATGATTCATGATTCAACCTGACACTAGTAGCGATGCCCTTTGCTCCTAGTAGCTTCTTGCTCCTAGTAGGAAGGCCAGGAGCCCCTAGTAGCGTCCTTGCTCCTAGTCACTAGAACGAACTCAAGAGGTGGATTTCAAGGTATCTGCAGTATCCTTTTCGTCTGTTGTTCTGTTCCTACTTTGTGGAGCAGCAGAACAAGGGTAGACAAGTCCAAGAGCCTCATCAAAAAGAGTGCCAAGGTCGCCAACCAGGAGCAGGTATGTGTGAAGGGTGTTTATCTTGATTCAATTCCTGCCATGGACTAGAATGAACTCAAGTGGTGATTTGAGTCTAGAAACGTTTGATTTGGTGGCATTATATAGTCAAAGCAAGTTATTTAAATCCTTGATCCCACTGTGCCAAGGTATGAACTCCAGAGTATATCATGAAGTGTGGCCCTCCGCAGGATGTCTACAAAAAAGGCATTAATTCAGAGTTGATTCCGAGCAGCAGTCTGCGGGACTAGCATGCAGACCAGACAGAGCTCAAGAGTAAATAAATTCTTCTAAACACTGGATTCTGTGTCGAATCCATCTTAGTGGCGGCACTCACGGAAAGACCAGGGATGAACACGCCGACTTGCAGAGTCTACAACGAAGGATTGGAGTTGCAGACCATGAATCCTCAAGGAGGTTCGCATGGCACCAGGTCAAATGGTTTGTTGCCCTGAGCACGTGACATGTGATGAGGGAATCGCCCCAGAGTTGGCGTTGTCAGGATCCTAGCTCATAGGTACTTGCTTGTCTTAATCGTATCTCGCAGATTTGAGTTGTGTGGCACTTCTGTTTCTCCGCTCGAGCACATTTTCAAGCTGCTGTCCGAATGTGCAGTTGACAGCCCGTTGATCTGCCAACGTCCTTCCCAAAAGAAGGATATGAAAAGCATCTTTATAAATCTTAGATCACCTAGACTTGTTCTCCTGAAATGTCCAATTTGCTGGTAAAGCATTATCTCTTCAGGGATGGTTGTAAAGTTTGGGTGAGCACTGATGAGCTCAATGCTTGGACTTGCGAAGGGCCGACATGTTCTGCAAGGGCCCAGCACCTCCCGGATTGAGAAAGGCGAGCGTGAAGGCATCATAAGCCATCTATCAATGATTGGAGCCATGGCTGTGGATGCAACTGCTTCAAGGCTGAGCGAAAGTAACTTTGTAGCTCCTCTTTGCAAAGGTCTTCAGGGAAACCTGTAACATCGATCTGGAACTCTTGCGTCAGGAACAAAAGAAGATCTTGATAGCAACCTGCTTCGCCAGCATTGATGGCCGCCATGCCCCGCTGGAAGTCTTTCTGCCATGCTCTACAGTCTTCTTGGAACAAACAAACTTTGCAGGAAACTGGAAGCTGGGAGCCACAGTACTTGTCAGTCTTCTGAGATTTCATCCAGCTCATTCTACATTCCGCGTGGTAGAAAGCTCCCGAGTCGAGCACACCGCGGTGTGCGTCTGCAACACCTTCCCCATGACCAAAGTTGCATCCAACACCGCAGGTGGCAGGGTCCTCACTTGTAAACTCCATACAACATATCCCACATGCCTCCTCCTTCTCCAATCCATCTCTAGTGGGAAAGTCTTTGAGGGATATGTAGCTCAAATCGGCAATGCCACACAAGCGCTCCACTGCCACATGTTCGCCATCCTGGTCTACCAAAAGAAATCGCCGGTGCCAATGCAAAACATCGCATGACGAAAAGCAGCATTCGCAATACTCGGGCCGGGAATCAAAAGTGGATTCCGGCGGTAGCACTTCACCTGGACGCTCATTGGGAATGAATAATATGAGTTCAATGGGACGAATGAAGCTCGTTTAAAAACCCAAGAATCCAACATATTGTATATTCTTTCGATTTTTTTGGAGGGAATGGGGGCCAGGTTTGAAAGCATGCTCCGCACCGCCTGGTGGCATTCCATACATTGAAAGCGCCTCTTGGGCGGAACTGTGGTTAAGGACATGCTACAGTTGGAGCACCGGATGCATGCGCAATCTGGAGAAAAGCAGCAAAGAGCTCCACAAGGCATCCTGGGACTTCTTACAGCGCTTGTCGCCCGTGACCCATTTAAGCAATACAGTCTAGTCTAGTCACGTCATTGCATTAGATTCATTAGATCATACAGCCTTCAATGTTGAGAAAACCACAAAGTGCTAAGCAACAGCTGGCATCTTGTAGTGTTTCTGCCATCTCAGCATGTTGTCCGTCACGGCTCGCTGCGGCAGACCTTGCCTCCATTCCTCTGCACCATCCACAGTGCGGAACACATCAGCGGACATGCTTCGCTGCGTGCTACTGTTGACAGTTGGCTCTCAAGATTTCTCGGCGATTGCACAGCATTCGTGGGTCGCCTTCTCCACTCTTGAGGGACCTTACCCGCCTTACCCCTAAATGCAAAATCAAGAACTCTGGAAAACAGAGTGACTGCGGAGGTGATTGCAATGCTGGAGGCTGCATGTGTTTTCGTTCCATCATGTCACGTCATGTGGGTTGTACTCCCTGGAAGACTAACATGGACCCTCGAAACCACTGGTTGGTAGAGGAAAACACTCTTCCAGGGGGCCATTGTCAGGGTCTATGTTAGTTTTCGGGAGTGTAGTCATTTGATGTCATTTGCAGGGTCACGCAAGGTCTTCGTTGGCCATAAGTTGGGAACAATTGCATGCACTCTCTAAAGCCTTTCCTTGGGCCGCTGCCAATAGCATCAACACAACTCGACAACTCGACTGTTTAATTGCAGAAATCCCCAGGTTGACTCTTTCGAGGTGCCTCCCCTGCCCCCGGGCATCCCTGGCCCAAAGTGGCGGGCGAGCTCAGAGCCTAGCAGGCATGAAGTCCGGCAAAGGCATTAGCTTTGATTGGGTCAACCAGAAGTGCCCAAAAGCAAGTGCAGCAGGTGCCAAGTGCAGCGCTGCAATATGCAATGCCTCCACGGCCAGTGCTTGGCCCTGCCTGACATCTTCGAGGCACTGATCTCGCGCGCCTCAAAGAGAGCCAAGTTGCAGTACACAAAAAATTCTTGTCACTTGGGCAAAGGTACGAGCCAAGTGAGGACTCAAACAGGCGAAGTTCCGGGTCGTGAAGCCACAGCGCACAAAGTCTGTGGCCTATTTCTTAGGGCGCCATAGGTCAAAAGTTCGCGGGTCCCGCCACTGAAGGTGGACGGAAACACAAGGCCAAAATGCTCATGAAACATTAGATATACCAAAGGTGGCATGAGTTGGTCTGTCAAATTTGCACCGGTGGGAAGCTAAGAAACAACTTAACGGTGGACCCACCAATCTTCATTAGTCAAGTAGTCATGGGAACGTCGAATGTTCTCAACATCTTGCCATAGGGTGGTTCCACTCAGTCCGTTGACTCGGTAGGGAGTCCTCGGCTCAGCTTGGCAACAGAAGGCGCAGGCATCACGTCGAGTGACCCGATGCGCCTGATTTAGGCCGGTTTCTGCGCACTGCCAAGCGCGGCGTCACCAAGGCGCCGTGCTCTCCGGGCGGTCTTCATCTAAGTGGTCCAGCAGCTCGCGGTGGACAGCACGGCATCTCCGAGATCACCTTCGAGGCGGCACACGTCGTCCTCCTCAAAGTGTATAGGGTGTCCTCACCGAAGAGTGAAGTAGACCAGCATTGCCATAGGCGATGTTAAGGAAGTGGCGCGTGCTCGGCCGTCTTTTGGAGTTCTCATGGACGTCAATCTCCTCAGAGTAAATCTCCTCATCCGGGATCTCTTCCTTCGGTGTTGTTCTTATGGGACTTCTTCTTTCTCAAGTCGGCACCTCTTGCCGGCTTTCTTCGCACTCTTCCTTCGTTTTCTTCTTGGCTGAGACGTATAAGTGGGCGCCCCAGGCCAATTTGATCCGGCGTCGTCGGATCCGATCTCCTAACAGGCTTCTGGCTAAGCTTTTGGTCAGCCTGTCGGCAAATATTCAGAGCTCACGCGTTTAAAACTTCCACCCAACTCTTGGACTTGCTGCTTGGCCACTTTGATCTCCAGGCAGGTGCGTTTGTCCACTGAAGAGCTCGCAGAAGTCGAGGTCTCCTTGTGTCAGGCGTCGTATAGTGCCTTGGCATCAGTCACCAAGGTGGGTTTCAAGACGCAGCGGCTGAGGTATTCAGCAGCGTCACTGGCGCCACTAGCAGCCTGAGCTTCAGCGCTCAAGCTAGACCGCGCAACTCGAGGCAACTTGCAACTGCGCCAGTCCACCATGTGGTACCTCTCCTCAGGAACCAGCATGGCCAGGTATCCTCCTTGCGACGGGTCCACGCCATCGGATATCGGATCTTGCGGAGTTGCTGTTAAGCGTCTCTCCAAGAGAAGCATCGTTGGCCGGCTACCAAGCGCTGATTGACGCCAGAGTAGCGTCGAAGAAGTGCACGTCCGAGCCTGCGGTCAGATTGTAGTAGACCCGGTTGAGCCGGTTAACCCAATATCTCTGTGGACTGTGCATTGAGATGTGGCAGATTGTACGGGAGAGCCTGCCGAGCTCCTTCTCGTCCTTCAAGCTGTAGGTCACTCACGTAAACCTCAATGACCTTGCGCAAGACAGCGTGTTGGCGCTCAACTTGGCCGAGGCGTTCGTGAGCCTTCCCTGAGCCTGGCGCTACTTGGTGGCTGACGCGCTCATCAGACCGTGTGAAATTCGTTGTCCTTCGCCAGCGATCAGTTCTTCAGGGCACCAAGATGAGCGATTCAGCGACGTTCGAGATGGAGTAGTTGCGCCTGTTTCAGCTGACACGCCACTTGATACGTGGTGTCCAGGATGGCCAAGATCGGCCATTTCTTCTTCTGCGCCCTGATCTAGAAGACATCAGCTTGGATGGACTGGTTGAAGTGATCAGCCTTCTTGGCGTTGGCCGGAGCTGGTTGGTTCGGGCGAAGACAGGAGCTGCCCAAGTAGTTCTCTGCAGCGGTCAGGATAGCACCACGGACCACGGGCTTGAAGTAGGTCCACAAGGGCCTGGACTGATGGATGTCCAAGATTCCCGTGGACGTTTTGCCGGTTTGCCACATGAAGCTCGACGATCCTGCCCAGGTACAGCATAGAGCAGCGAGCGCAGAGGACATGGCAGGTTGGTAGTTTTGCATGTAGGAGGTTCTGCGGGCGCCAAATCCCATCATCTGTCCTTCAAGACGGCACTGTAATGTTCATGATCTCCACTGCTCGTTTTGTAGTGAGGATGACGGTATCTTCTCTTCAGGCTTCCATTGGGAGTCCGCGTCCATGCACACGACTCCATACTGACAGTGACGGCGTCTGGCCTTGTAGCTGGGGAGCGAGCGTAGGGCAGATGTATCCCACGGGAGAGCGGCTGTAGGTTGCTGAATGTGGCTCTGACGTCCAGCATGCAAGCAGTTGCTTGTCGATGCCATTCGCGAAGGCCACAAATATCTCTCGTCTTTGTTCAGTAGCGCGATGTTCTGCATGCTGGACCAAGGGCCACAGCTGGGAGAGCGGTAGATCTGGTCTGGCGTCTCTTGATCTTGTAGTTCCAGAAAGGCGCGTTGATGGGGATTGCAACGCTAAGTTCCATCGCGTCTCATAGCCAAATGTCCGGGCGGTCATGCCCATGGATTCGTAGACCTCCAAAGGGTCCGAGGAGGTGCGTCAAGCTCTTCACAAAGGGTCTCGTCGACCAGAACGCTCAGGTCATTCGTCTGTGCCTGAGAGCGCATGACAAGGGACTTCCAATGCTCGCCGGCGGTCAGCGGCACGGTGGTCTCATCAAGCAACTGGTCCTCCTCAACCTGGTAGAGGTGTTCGTCAGGAAAAATTCGTACGTGCCATGTTCGCCAAGTTCTTCATCCAGCTGCAGATCGAACGATGGTTCCCACTCCGTCCGGAACGAGGAGGTGAGGTTAAGGAGATGTTCTTCACGTCGGCCCAGAGACAAGCTTCCTGCCACGAACTTGATTCGTAGCTGGGCAAAGTCAATAGTCATCCAGCGCCTTGATCACGGGACGGCCAACCAGCATAGGCGTCTCACCAGACAGCACGAAGCGTTGTAGGAGTCCGTGCAGGTTGTTCAAGTATGCAGAAACTAAGATAGCCTCTCCCTGTCGTCTAGACAGGTTTAGACAGGCGCATCTTCTTGTAGTAGATCAAGATCCTCTTCTGCCACTCGCGGTATCCCGTTAGGGGTCCATCAAAAGCGGGATGAAACTATCCCGAGTTGAGGCCGTATCCATCTCGGCCTTCTTCTCGGTGGAGGCGGCTGACAGGAGCCCAAAGACAGTCTCAGCCAAGTAGGTGGTAGTAGGTCTCAGCAGAGAGGAACTCGAAGTGAAGCACTGCTCCTGAGCGTAAAGAAGAAGTCAAAGTGGTAGGTAAAGTTTCCGTTGGTGTTGTAGTGGGCGTGGAAGGTGTCAGGGGGTAAGATGCGGAGCGGCAGGGAGCCTCCTACCAATGTCACGTGGGCAAAGGTAGGAGCCAATATAAGTGAAGACCCAGACAGGCGAAGTTCCGGGTCGTGAAGCCACAGCGCACAAAGTCCGTGGGGTGCCATAGGTCAAGAGTTCGCGGGTCCCACCACTGGAGGTGGACAGAAACACAGGGCCAAAATGCTCATGAAACATGAAACATGAGATATATCAAAGGTGGCATGAGTTGGTCTGTCAAACTCACAACTCTTTTCAGGTACACCTGAACTGCTTCTCATTTCAAGATGGCTTACTAACTGAAGCTTGCTCTCCTGTTGGGTAGCCAAGGAAGAGCACTGTATTCCACACAACTGCAAACAGTCTGTCGAAGACATAGCAGACTTCCTGGGTTCACGAGGCCTCATCCTTCATGAGCGAAGTGGTCAGGCGGACAGCACCTCAAAGTGCTGACACCCGTGCGCATTCAATACTATTTGATGTTGAGATTGAGATAGATGTACTTTTACATTGGTCTCCTTGAATGTACAATTACTTCTATGTTAATGATATGTTGACTGAGCACGTTGATTGAGCACTTGTCCTGAAGGCAGGTACGAGTGTAAAGCTACCTAATGCTGCCTATATACGGCAAGAATAAGTCAAGGCTCCTTTCCCCCAGTTGCGCCGCCATGTCCCTTGACTTGCAACCACACAAAAGCTAGAGGACGGGCTGGGGAGTAAACTTGAAAGGAGCATCTTTCCAAACACCAGCAACAGTGAAAGCATTCTTGAGAGGAACTCAGTAAATGTTCATCTGCTCCAAGCGTGCTGTTATCGTTGAGCAAACAAGAACAACTAATGCAACGGTTGTGTGTTCCTGTAGGGCAAATGATCTTCTGTGATATGTTCCCAATCTGTTCTGTGTGTTCGGCTGCCTTTGAGAGAGTTGATGTTGCTGCTGAGTGCCCATGCCAAGCTGAGCTTTGGCCTCTCCAGAAGCGGCCAGCTGCAGCAGCAACTGCCGCAAAGCCTTCCCACAAAAATGGATTGCAGCGGACCCCACAGGTTTCCAGTACGCATCATCCAACATGGTTGGGTGGACATGCTGTACAAACAAAGTGGATGGGTGTCTGACAAAGTCAGATTCTTTGCTCCTACCGAAACCCACCGATTGTTCTGTTTGTTTGGGCCTCCTCTTGGCGCTTCAGCCATTGTGCCAATTCAAGCAATCCTGGTGCAAAATAGGAAGCTGGTTCAGCAAAGCTGACAGCTCAAATCTCTGCGATGTTTCATAGATTCATACGTTTCTGCAGAGTGAATTACAGCATGCAACACGCATCATTATGTATGCATTGAGGTGATCCTAAGGCAGAAGCTAAGGTAAGTTCTATATAAGGTGTCCCAATGGGATTTAGAATTTGCTAGTTTCCTAACATCCTCCGCCTATCAATCAAAGTTCTCGCCCAGAGCCTTCTTTTGGCATGTCTTTCGAATCAATAGCAAGATGGCGATGGTGCCTGCGAGATCTAGGAGCAAAGTTGAGAGTGCTGAGTGATGCAACACGGTGTCATAGGAATGGCAACACAAATGGTTCTCCTGGTGGTGGCCTCCCCACCTCCTTTTCAAATCTGAAGCTTTCTGTGAAGATGACAGTCAGTGCACGTGAATGAGATTCATTTCCAAGGCGACAGAGTGTTCATTTGGGTGGCAGATCATTCGGTTTGTTTAGAGCGGGCAAAGCGTTTGGCAAACAATCTGGGTTACCCTGCGCAAGAACCTTGCCAATGGCAGACAGAGCTGCCACTACCACACCTCAATGACCGCCATGTCACACAGGGTCACAGTCCAGAGACTCTGATAGGGAAAGCCTGACCTGTCTTTTCTACTAGATTGGCTCAAGCAGCGAGAACACCATGGATGTCCCAATTTGCCAAAAAATCCGTTGAGGGAACTCAAGAACTCAAGATCAATCAGCCTAGATCCTGAGTTTCATCAATGCCCCCAACTCGTTACCCGGCCCAAACACAATGACGCCTGTGGGCACCCGCGCGTAAGTCCTCGGACTCGCAAAGCTCAAAGAGCTCAGTGATCTGGGCCGTCGCACGTCGCTGCTTCACCCAAAGCGTGCCAATCAATTTGGAACGAAGGTGTTGGATTTTATGTCATGATGTGCTCTTGTTGTTCTAGTCCTATGATATGTTGATATATTTTGTCATGATCCTTGTAATCCAAAGAGCTGTCCCTTTGCTGACCTAGCATTGCACCAAGCGGTCTGATGAACCTGGCCAAATTTGTTCTAAACACAGATCTCATTGAAACGCAAACAACTTTGCCTCGTTCAACTTTTGCTGGCCCGACGGACTGAGCAGTTGGCCCCTGAAGCGAAGGGGATTTGATCGACGGATATCTGGACCGCAAGCAGGGTCCCAGTATCCACAAAAAAATGGGCACAAGCAGCGACATGGGTTTCGTGTGGTTTTCATTACCACTATGTGTAGTTGGAACTAGTCCCCTATCATCATTGAATGTCATGCAGTGATATCAAACACAAAGCTGAAGGAATTCGAGCGACAGCTACGCGCAAGACATCTCCAAGCTAAATGAACCGAAAGAACCGGTCCATGATGAGGCCACTTGGGTCGACCTAGGACACAGCGGCTCTGAGGGGCATGCTGCAGCTCGGAGACCCGATCCATGGCTCACAGACCCTCGATTCTACTGACGGATGCGGGTGAACTGAAGGAAGGTTTGAACTTGACCAAAGAGGCCGTTTGTTGTTTGAACTTCAGACATGTTGACGTCAGTTTGCCCAACTGCAGAAAAGACAGTGGCAAATTAAGGCACACAAACATATTGTCACTACCAATAAGCCTGGAAACATTGCTGCTGTGATCCAGCCGTAGAAGGCAAGCACTGAGGACGGCTGTGACATCGCTTGGAGTCTTCAGATGGCACAACAAAAAAGTTGCAGTAACTTGAATTCACGTTGAGTGATGCTGAACTTTCCCCGCAAGGACCTGACAATTTGGGTGACTAACCAAATTTATATAGGTCTGGTCAGTCTCTCCATCTCCACACGCCAGAGCAAAAAAAAGAACAGAAATCAATGAAAGTGCGACACAACAAGCACTACTTGGAAGCCCTTGTCAATTCCTCAAATCGCAGCAGGGATGCCTTGTGCAAGATCCCCGGTTAATTACTTGGTCCCAAACCATGCACGCGTTTTCCTTGCCAAGAATGCGAGTTCAACATGTAGTTGATTAACCTCTTCGGCATCTGCAAGAAGTCTCAACTTCTGGGAGAGGCTGCGAGGCGTGTGATCAAGCTGCGGGTTGGTCCAATCCTTCCCGACAGCTTCATACAGCGACTCGACTGTTGAACTGAACAAGGAGTACATGTGACAAAAAAATTCCCGGAGGAAGGCAGCGGTCCAAGCTCAGATTGGCGTGATGATTAGGCAAATTCCTTGCTGGACCTTCAGCAACTCCCAAACAAAGACTTCTCAACCTCACTTTATTAGATAAAAAGATCACCCTTTGCAAATGCAGGGCGCGTGCGGCAAAACATCATCCCCCATGGGGATGTTGAAAGCAGGCCGCCATATGGCTGAACGGAACTTCAATCCTTCATCCTCTTTTTTGTGACTTTCAGGTGTCCTCTCTTATCCACAACTCTGGGAGTTCAGGACAGGAGGCAAAATTTCTGAACTCAACACACTGCAAAGGGTGGCGGCCCCAAATGGGGACATGCGGTTTCTCCCATGTCAGGTGACAGAAATGAAGTCAGCTACTTTGTTTGGGTCTTACCCCACCCTCTGCGGCCGAGGTTTATGTTTGCCAGCCTCGCAACACAACATCACTCTCTTCCCAAACGAGTGGTGCACATGACCTGTTTCAAAGGGAGAATGCACCCCAATCCTCCCAAAATCTAGCGTTCTACTGTCCAAGCTTGATCGAGCAAGAAGTAAAGCCTGCCTGAGATTGAGTGTGTTGCAAATTGGCATCATTCGACGATATTGCCGGCCCCCCTTCAATCATCTTCAATTTCAGGGGTCAGCAAGTGATTGGGGGAAGAGCGGACTTTTCCGTAAAGTCCGCATCTTCACCTTCCAAGCAAAAGTTGTGTGTTTGATGCTCCAGGAAGTGTGTGCGTGTGTGTTCTGCAAACCCGGTGGTGTCACAAGCTTGTGTAATCTCTTGTATGTATGCAAGAGGTAAATCGAGGCATTTAATGCAACACTTGGCTGAAAGTATCTCAACACTTGGTTGAAAGTATCTGAACTGCTGGATGGCGCGCAAAAAAGTCACAAAGACTGTGACGGGTCTTTGCTCCAGGACTTGCCCTCACACATTGAGCCTGGTACGGAGGGTCAAGATGGTCAAGGATGAGCTGTCTACAAACTTGTGTGGGGAAGCACCAGTCAGTAGTCTGAATATTTTTCTGACTTGCCCCCATCCCATCGTGCCACCGTGCAACTGGACTTGTTTAGCTAGACAAAATCTAAAGCCATAGAAAGCTAGAGGCGCAGATTCTGCGTTCTCAAAAAAAGTATCGTGTTCCGTGTTCAGGACACCATCAAAGGATTAAAGAGTGTTGGTTGGGCCCAAAGATTTAGAATGAGTTTTCATGCGTTGGAGTGTACTTACTGCTCTTCCAAAGATTCTACTATAATTGTATACTTGTTCGGTGGCCTGCAGCTGGAGATCACTTCACCTGCGGTTTCAGGAGTGAAGCAACTGCCAAAAGCTTCTTGGGGTACAGTGATAGAGCGAACAGGTGCAACTCTGAGGCATCCTCTCCAGTACTACAATACGATCTTTGGATTCGATTGAATACAAGGAGCTAGCGTCAATGAAAGAAGGCCCACCTCCATCACGTGGCCAATGGCCACAGTGGTCTCCTCCAAGCGTAGCATGACCATGCCCAGTCCTTGAAGTGAGATCTTACAGCTATGCAAGAGCATCTTATCCACTTGACATCACTTGTCAGTTTGTTTCAATTTCAAGTTTCCACAAAGAATATCCGTCCCTACTAGGAACAAATTTGGACTCCAAATGGAATTCCAACAAAACGACCTATTCAATCCCATCAGCCCTACAAACACTCCAAATAGCACCGACTTCCCCCACCACCAGAATGGATCAGCAACGTTCAGCATGTCTTTCCCTCCAAGCTACGGCTTCCAGGTGATACACAAAGTGGCACCTGCCGCAGACTGCGAAGAAAACATAATCTTTATATATAAACAAAGACAGTACTTCGACCTCTCCATCCGAGCTACATGATTGCCCGGCTGCGCAATTGTGTCGCAAAGGTGCTTCTTTGCGCAAACACCGATTGTTGTTTAAGGTTTTGGGTGTCAACGGTGTTATGGGCCCTGGTGTTATGCGACCGCACAACAGTCAAAATTTTCTGATTACATGGGGTTGTGGGTCGGGCGGGGGATTATGTAAAGGGCAATGATGACCGGTTGGATCATCAGCGTCAACATTTGATCTTCGCCATCTTCGCTTCGTTAAATTCACCTTCATCTTCGTTTCATGAGCGTTTCATGAGCTTCAGTTTCATGCACTTCATGTTCATCCACCTTTCGTTTCATGCTCATGCACCGGGCTTTCATCTTCGTTTCATGAACTTCATGTTCATCTTCTCCTTCGTTTCATGAGCTTCATTCACATTTGCAAAGCAGTCGGAAACTTGTGTGCCAAAATGTCCACTCGAAAAGTTGCTCTCAGGAAAGATCTCAAACCGATTCGAACCGAACGAACCGAATGTAGAGCGAGACGAACCGATCCGACCCCCGTCCAGCTCAATCAGCAAAGCGTTTCTCCGGGTTTTTCTAGAGATGCTCCTCCGAATGTCCTTGATTCATTCGCCATCAACACAGAGGCCCATCTGCAGTGAACGGTAGGCACTCGAAGTGTTTCATCTCACCTGCCACTTGACTCCTGCCTGAATAGTGATGCCGTAAGTGGCTCCCGTTTGAAAGTGTTTTTGGTGCTACGTGAAAACGCATGTTCGGCGCAAAACACGGTTTTTGAGCAAATGCCTCACTGGAGGAGCCCCACCTGCGGACGAATCTCGCAAATAGTTTCACTGGCAGCATTGGGTTTCTCTTGCGGCCTGCTTCCCTTCGACCTCTTCCTCTTGTCTTCTTTGGCTCCGCACGCACCAAGATCTCAAGCATGTGGTTCATAGGGTCTTCTGCTGCTTTTTCGAATCTGTCTCCAAGTTCTGGGCACTTTTCGCGTGAACCCGCCACCTTTGCAAATCATATCCTTGCCTTGTAGCAGGCAGGCGCCTACATTAGTGGACAGTCCTCAGGTCCTCGATAAAACCAACGGCGCAAGAGCGCTCATGTTCTTCTTCCACAGACTGAGGAACACTGCGCACAAGCAGCGTTGACGGATACGCCTTTTACGCACACGGTTTTTAAAACAATTCATATAGCAAGTATTCTATACCCGTACCTCCCGCAAGGCTTTGCCAGCCCGCCCCATGCTAAAACGCAGAGAGAGAAAAATATGCGTGCAACTAAAACCAACCGACTCCCTACAACAGCTGCCACGTTCAGCTGGGGAGGTCGGCAGCTCGCCATACCTGCTCTACCAGCACTGCGCCTGGGGTACATTTTAACTTGCGCACTCACACTTCCTGTCAGGGACGTGGTCGCAGCACACGCGGCCCTGGGCGTTCGCCAAGGGCGTGGCTTTGACCTATGCATGGGGGAGAACGCTCTTTGGAGCCCTTTTCCTCTGCACATTGGAATTTGCCCGTGTCTGCTGGAAAACCATTCGGACGTGGAGTCGTGACAACAATGCCAAAAACGATGGTGAATGGTGACACTGCAAGTCCTTGGTGGAAACGACTCCTGACCTACGGGCAAAACATGAGGGCTAACTTGAGTGAAACAGGTGCAAAAGCAACCCTCCAACCATGCTTTCTGTCCGAGAAGGAATAAGTATCGTGCGCACATCTCAGCGCCAGCTTTTGCCAGGGGCCTTCCACTGCACCAAGGCCACTGACTTTGCATGGCCCGTCTATGTCGGCACGAGATGTGTCAGGTGGCGGCTGACGACGCTGGGCAGCAAGCTGATCCCTCGTGACTGCATGGGAACTCTTGGTGGAAATGTCTCCTTCCACGCCTCAAAGCTTGGTGGTGTTTGCAGTTGAGTCTGTCCCGCAGCCAATGCCTCCATCATCTGCATGAGATGTTGTGCATCTTCCCATCCTAGAACATGTGCACCTTGTGCTGGAGCTAGTCCTCCTTGTCCTGCCATTGTCTCTTACTTGCCTTGACTGAAGCAGTCCGGCAGTTGACATTGATGCTTGTCATACGGCTCCCCGGCCCGAAGCAGTTCGGCTGACCTTCGACAAGTAGATGGTAGCTGGGCTGTTACAACTACATCTCTGCTACCATGAACGGAGAATTTAGGCTCACAAAGTTGAGTGCTACTGAGATCACTGTACCCAAAGGAAGATTCAAGCAAGCAGGACTCACTGTTCACCTGATACTTGAGGTAATTCAGGTTTGAACAGAAGGTCTGAAATTATCTGAAACGACTGCAGCGAAACATGTGTGACCTAGACTGTTACATGCAAGTGACCCAACATCTGATCAGTGCCTAAAACGCCGAAAACGAAACAACCCCCCAGTAGATTGGACCCCTGGAAAGCCAATTACAAAAAATAAACA